GGGAAAGGAAGGTCCCCCCCCCCCCCGCCCGGTTTTTAAAAGTTGGTTTTTTTAAAATCACAAAACCCCCCGTTTCCAAAAAAAAAAAAATTTGGAACCCTTTTTTTGGGGGATTGGCGAAAAAGGGGCCCCAGGTTTTGGCCTTCTTTTTTTTGGGGAAAAAAAAAAGTTTAAAAATTCTCCCCCGGGGGGGGGGTTTTTTGGGGCCCCCTTTAAAAAGGGGGTAATAAAAGGAAAGGGTGCCTTTTAATTTTTCCCTTGGCCCCCCCCCCGTTATCAAAAGGTTTTTCGTGTGGGGGGGGGCCTTTTTTGTTTCCCCCCCCCCCCCCCCCCCCCCCGCCGCTTGCCCCTGGCCAGAAGGTTGCCACGCCTTCCGGGGTGCTACTTGATATTTTGCGAAGTACGCAGCACCCTTTTGCTTGACCGTCACGCCTGCCTCTTTTCCCCCTGCTCCTACCCTTTCCCTCCCCTTCCCGTTGTTTTTTTTGTTCTCGGGGCCGACATTCGGCAGGTGGGAGAGAAAGTAGCCAAGTCGACGGGCGGCAACTACCCGAACGCGACGGCCATCGTGGACTGCATCAAGTTCGGCCTGTCGTCGTCTAAGCAGGTTGGTCGGTCTATGCAAAGTGCGACTATCGAAAAAGAGGCTGATCTGCTGCCAGGCTTTTTCGCGGTGTCCTGGCGCGGTTTGCGGCTTTTCGTGTTGTAGTGGGTCGTGCTCTCGCTGTACCTTAAAGCATGAGGCGCCTATACTAGGTTCGTCGACGGAAGGCGTGCCATCTGATTTCTGTGATGGTGGATCGTTTGCCTTTCTGTGGTTCTAACTCTTGGTGTGCTCGGGACGGTATTTACTGCCTTTTGTGCTCCTTCTGTGGTTTGTGATATAACGCCGCTTGTCGGCCTTTGCTGTTTCTCGCAATGTTGGCACGTTTCTCAGGCTGCGCTCGAGTATGAGGCGCAGCGCTTCTCGGAGATGGCCGCCACGCCGGAGTCGGAGAGCCTGATCGGTCTGTTCGAGGGGTCGACGGCTCTCAAGAAGAACCGCTTCGGCAAGCCGGCGAAGAAGGTTCGCGTATGCTGTTTGGCTGTGTCGGCGTGCTGCCGCGGTCTATTTGATGGGCCGGAACCTAGAGAAAAGGCACAAAAGCGGATGAATGACTGTTGGTACGAATATGGTGATCTTCATCATGAGATGGGGGACCGCACTTGGGCATTCGACATGTTCCTGGAGGTTCACTTGCGGGGGCATATGTCGGGGCAGGAAGCGACAGGGTTTGGAGGTGGACTTTGAAGATGGGTTCGCATCCCCTAACTCCTGCCGTAGACGATTCGAACTTGTTCACATTGGCGTCGACGTGAGATGTCTAGTTTTGGTGGTGGAAGACCCGGGTTCGATCCCGCCTCCCACCTACGGACGGTGGTGGGAGGCACGAAAATCAATCTGTGGAGCGTCTGGTGCGCCTGTTCGAAACATAGTAAAAAATTGTGATGTATTTACTGGACCCGCCGCCAGTCGGCCGGGTTCCGGTTCCCCCTAGAAGCCGTCTACCTGTCTCAGTTTTGCAAACGAGAAAATGGTTCCTGAAAGGGGGCGGAAGAAAGTGTAGAGGCGGCGTGTCGAGGACGGTTACCTCTAGTCGCGAGGGCGTACAACATCTCTCCATCAACCATAATTTCTTGAGACCACAACACACGACAATTTCGTGCTTAATCTGCTGAAACTATATAGGTCGAGAAGGTGGCGGTTCTCGGGGCGGGACTGATGGGAGCGGGGATCGCCCAGGTGTCGGCGGAGAAGGGAATGACCGTTCTCCTCAAAGACAGGCAAGGGGGACTGCTGTTGTTTGTTCCTGTTGTTCCTGTGGCCTGGTGCTTGATGCAGGTAGTCATGGACCGTCGGCGCTGTTTCCGGTCATCTTGGACGGAAGGAAGGTCGAGAGGATGAAAGCTTGAGCTTGCCTCACGCCATGGCGTGAAAAAAATTGCTCTCGTTGAGACTCAGGCGGCAGGGTGGGGGGATTGTGCAAATCCGCTATCCCATGGTAGTCAAAGGAACAACAAGCGATTTGTCTTGATGTCCCTTCGAACAGCTGTCATGGGAATCAAGCCTCCAGTCGAATTCTGTCCTTGTCCCCGTTGTCGGTCGCCCATCTCAAATGATGTCTTCGACAGGGATTCGGCATCCGTGGGAAAGGGGACGTCGTACATCATGGACAACGCGGCCGCCAAGCTCAAGAAGAGGCGCATGACCAAGTACGAGGTGCGGCTCCTACCCTTGCTTTCCTCTGTCTCTTATGGAGCATATATGTATCTCGACTGTTGACTTTGCTGATCTTAGGTATGACGTGCAGACGAGCTACGCTTGGATGCCGGGTAGACAAATCCGATTGAAGATATGCCATAGTTTATTTTCGGAGATACAGTAGTAGTGCCTCTTGTGAAACGCGAGCAATAGCCACTCTCTCCCGTTCCTGGTTTCCAAGCGTTTCGTGCCGCAAACGACACGCAAGGTCCTGTGCTTGCGCTGCGCTTCCGTGAACGCTAAGCCGTTCTCTCTTTCGACGCATCTGGGGCTGTCTTCCCATGCCTCTTGCGCTTGTTGCCTTGCGTATAGATGGACACGGTTGGGTCTCGGGTGATCCCCCTGACGGACGAGGGCGACCTGTGGAAGCGTCACTTCGGTTCGGCGGAGATGGTCATCGAGGCCGTCCCGGAAAACCTTGACCTTAAACACAGGTTTGTGTGTCATGACATGTGATTACCCCACTGTTTGGCTATGCTCGGTCTCCTTTTTTTTTGGAATGGCGCAAGAAGAATGGCAGTTCACGGGATACGCGCTTGTGTACGATCTGCGCGTCCGCGGCCGACCTTTCGGGACGCCCGCACGCTTGCTTGCAATCTGTGTCACGTGCTGTTGGCGCTCAAGTCGTGCCGATATTCCTGCAATCTGTGCCACGTGCTACTGGCGCTCAAGTCGTTCCGATATTCATGAACTTCGCGGGAGGGGTATGCTGTGTTCCGTGGCGTTCTGATTTTTTTTGTTTTGCCCTCGTTCCATTTCGTGTGTGCTAGCGTGTGTCGGCATTCGCAGCCATGATCGGCTCCCCTACTCGAAACCCGAACTCATCCGTACGACTCGAACATTCCGTGCCTGTGCTTCGCTGTTTGCACAATTTGTTGATGTGGGTGTTTTTGCGCAGAGTAATCCAGCAGGCGGAGCAGTTCCTCCCGGAGGACTGCGTCTTCGCCACCAACACGTCCGCGCTGCCCATCAGGGACATCGCGAAGGCTTCCAAGCGACCGCAGAACGTGGTGGGCATGCACTACTTCTCGCCCGTCCCCATGATGCCCTTGCTCGAGGTGAGAGGGCGCGGATAGCCGATAATCGCAAACGGTTGTGCAAACCGTTGTACAACAGCAGTAGTCGCGATGCAGGGCATGGATAATTTGCGAGCCAGACACTTGCCATGAAGGGGCTGTTCCTGGTAGGGAGGAAAGGGAGGGCGGCGAAGGGGACGCGCGTATGTCCTACTCGTGCTTCCGCGGGATGGTGTTCTTGCTGGTTGGAAGTGTGCACGCGACTAGCACAGAATCCTATTTTCACGCACGGGACCCAAGTATTTGCTGCATAGCGTTAGGATATCTCGCTCGCGTCTTTTTCCTTGCCGCTGCAATTTACACAGCACGGTAAGATTTATCGCTTACGGTAGGTTCGGATAGCTCCAGTGCTTGTGCCAGGTTGGTCTGCATGCATGCATCCACCCGAAGCCGATACACACCATCGCATGAGTGAAAATGCATCGGCGCCACCATTTCTGGTGTATCTCAGCCCAGCACATTCCCCGTCGCGCTTCCAACTCTTGTTGTTGCCAGATCATCCCCCACGACGGCACCTCGGACGCGGCTGCCGCGGCCGCGGTTGACGTCGGAGGGCGGCAAGGGAAGACTTGCATCGTTGTCAAGGATGTGCCGGGGTTCTACGTCAACAGGTGTGAACGTGCTCAAGCAGGTGGCGGGGACGTGGCGCGCTGTTGTGTCGTCACATCGACGACCTTCGTGCACTATGTAATCGTGAACCTCATGATTTTGAGTTACCTCCATAGTACGGAAAAGTATGGAAACAAGAGAGTGTAGTACAGCATCTCGCCCTAGGCCTATCCACTTCGAGGCTAAGGCACCCAAGGAGCTGGAGGTTCGGATGCCGACATGGTCATGTTCCTCCGGAAGAAAAATTGCCCGTGTGTTCAATTCAACCCTTAGTTTTGTCGAAGAAACCACGCTTGTTCCTGGTCGTTGAATTTCTTTCAGGTGCTTGGGCCCGTTCCTAGTGGAGACGTGCGCTTTGGTGGAGGCGGGGGTGGGGCTGGAACAGCTGGACAAGGTCATGAAGTCCTACGGACTGCCTGTGGGGCCCATCACTCTAGCGGACGAGGTGAACACGAGGGTTCCCAGGGACATGACCCTCCGATTTGGCGGCATTGCCGATGGTTTGGGTGATGAGTGTCGGCATAGGTTTGTTGTCTCTCTCGTTGTTGATCACGGTCCTGTTGTTGCTGTTGTTGTTGTTGATAGCGGCGGTGGCGGTGGTGGTGAAAGTGGCAGTGGCAGTCACTTAAAGCCCGTGATATGACTGCATTGACCTAAATATGTAGACGAAACTCTCCTGGAGAAAAAATCAAGCTGTCTCGGGATTTTGATAACACGCGCTGAATTGAATGATTTTTTCGTCTCACACGATCGCTGTTTGGTGTCATCTTGCGGCGTAAGTGTTCGTATCGGACGAAACGGTGTCCCTTCGCTTTCATGTGTGAAGAAACTTACACCGCCACTCACACAGCAGTTGGATATCTTGACTCTCGAATCCGCAGCTATGTGTCTTACCCTCGTGCGACGCATTGCCGGCAAAATTAGGTGGGCATCGACATCGGCTTCCACGTGCAGAGCTTCTTGTCGGAGGCAGACATGGGCGTGAGGATGACGGGGGGAAACGTGGCCGTCATGGGCGACATGGTGAGACACCGCGAGAAGCGGCTCGGCGTCAAGGCTGGTGTTTCGAGCTGGTATGCGCAATGCACCAGAACCCACGTCACATTTGGTCCATTACACACGGCATCAGATGTTCCCGCGCAACGGGAAACCTACACTGAAACAGGCAGCAGAGTGCCCCAGCTGGGGTAAAGTGACTGTGTTTGGGAACCGCAAAAATGTGACGACATCCACGCACAAGCTTTTGACAACTTGAAGCTCATGGACAGGATCGAAATTTCACCGACCGAAACGAACGATACACTACATAACTCCGCGCAGAGAGGAAAAACCTCGTTGTGAATATTCCATACGTCATCGATAATGATAATGACCAGGTGGAGAAGGGGTTTCTCGGCCGTAAGTCCGGCAAGGGATTCTACCTGTACCCTAAGGGGAAGAAGGGCAACAAGGGGGGCAAGGAGCTCAACCCAGAGGCGGTGTCTCTCATCAAGGCGCACCAGGCGGCCGGCGGAGCGGGCGCGTCACTGGCAAACGATGTCATCCAGGACCGCATGATGTGCAGGTGAACGCGGCAAGCGAGAGGAATGAGAGGATGGCTGTTCGGTGGGGGTGGCATGAATAAACGTTTGGTGGGGCAAGATGGGCGCACGGGATAACGATCAGCGTGGTTGGCTACCGCGATGTGTAGATAAAAAAGGACACCAAACGATACCCTGCAGAATAGGGCCGGAGATAAGAAACGCCGAAATCGAGCCGAGGCCCAGTCTCGTTATTTCATCGCCACTGTCGAGCACAGGTCATCATGTAGAGATCCACCGCTGAGTTATGTTTTGGAACACTATTTTCTTACTCTTGTTGAAAAACGAGTCTCTGTTTCCTAGCGAAATGTTCCTTAACTACGGGCGGGCCCGTTCTGTGTTTGACGTTGTAATGATGACGTCGTACCGCCCGCCCCTGCGCGTGTGAATGAATGCCCAGGTTCGTGAATGAGGCGGCGCTGTGCCTGCAGGAAGGAATCATCTCGTCGCCCGTGGACGGCGACATCGGCGCCGTCTTCGGCATGGGCTTTCCCCCTTTCCGAGGAGGTCCTTTCCGTCTGCTGGATCAGCGAGGTGCAGGTGAGATCCGAGCAAGACTCGCGTATTCTGACAAGAGCGTGAAAGAAACAGTTCGCCCCGCGAGATTTTTTACCATCCTTGACATACGACTTGTCCTCGCGCAGTCTTGAGTTTTTCTCTTTTTTTTCATCACAGCGCTTACAACAGTTCTGCCGATAGAGGAGCTCTAACCCGTGGTCACAGATGCCCCCTCCCGAGATTGATGAAGTGAGGTTCTCGTTTTTGTTACTACCGAATCACACCTTCACCGCTATTCCAAACGCATGAAAGAAAAATGTTTAGAGCGAAACAGCGTTACGTCGCTCTTTGTCTATTTTGTCCGTGGGGTTCCGTGGCAAATGCGTCGCGAATCGTTCCATCTGCGGTGTAGGTGGTAACCTCAAAAAAGTGCAAAACGGCGTGGCTGGGGGTTCGAATCCTGGCGAGGTATTTTTCTCAAGTGGTGCCTGTTTAGTGTAAAGCGCTTGGTTGGGAGTTATACGTAAGGGAGGGACGTCTCAACCCTTCTAGGGTAGTGGTTGGTACTACTTCGTACTGGCATGTGCTGCAGAGGAATTCTTTGCTACGAGCCCGAATCGTAGTCGCCCAGTCAAAGAGGGAGGCCTTAGGGCAGTCGAGACTGCTGCGAGTGACGGTCACAAAATGTGGGGCGAAAATATTAACGGGTTAACTTTGATTTTGCGGGTTGTTGGCTGCCTCGACTCCAGGTTTTCCCAAACTTTCCACGTCATGACAGGCAAACTTCTCATCGACATGTCTGCAACTGCAGAACCCGCCCAGCCGGCCAGAGAGCACGTGTGAAAATTTACGCTGGACGGGGATAATCTCGCCCATGAAGGGACGACACCCGTGCTGCTGCTCGCCCGTCCTCGTTTACGACTAGTGTGTGTCATCTCCCTCAGAGAGCACTGGCGAAATCCCTTCTTATCCTTCTACCGGTGCTGTGCTCCCCTCGCAAAAATCACATTTACCTTCATCCAACGGCCACCACATCCCAGTCGTAAACGAGGACGGGCGAGCGTTGTACAGTGTCGTTGCGGTCGTAAAGTTTTTGTTGGGTGCGTCCTCTTCATGGCCGAACCCAACGTGTCTTTGAAGAAAAGACGTTTTTTGGCGAGAACGGTTCGGAAAGAAGTTTTCAGCACAAGATGGACAATAATTCCGGTTGAAAAATGGCCAGAAAACCTTGCACCCCATGGAACCGGACATTGTCCGTACCGGCACCACTCTTTCGCTCGAGATTTTATGACGTAACACCGTACTACCTTGCGGCCTCTAAATTCCCTCGCTTGGTGTATGTGTCCGATCCAGCTGTAGGTGGTCTACCTGCAGGAGAATGAATCAAATCTGCAACGCATCAGGGAATATGGCACTCTGGATGTTTTTCTCACAGTGGATCTGGCCAAAAAGTTATAATACGCTTTGCTAATGTGGGCTGGCTCTACCCACGGTTCAGTTCATCTGTGAACATCTTGGCGAAAATCTCCCACGAGCAAGAGCCAACGTCACTTTCGGCATGAGCACACCAATTGAGCCGAGAAGTGAATTCTCGGCTATAAAAGAACCTGGGATGTTTATCTGCCTTGTCCCACGGGTCACGTTGCCATCATTGCCTGCCCTGCCCACATTTTTCCTTTTGTGTCAACTCTGTGTTCCCGTCATCACCAGGCGCTTATGCGGACATGATGAACCGTTTGGCCGACGAGCATGGCGAGCAGTTCCGACCCTGCCAGCTCCTGATGGACCACGCGCGAGGAGACAAGAAGTTCCACACTTGAAGAACCCGTCTCTCGCGGAAATTCTGGATGAATCCCTAATCCACAGTTCGGATCAGGGGCCGAAGACTTGGGACCGCGCTGCTTGGTTGGATGTGATTAGTTGGGGCTTGACTGGTACGGGCTCCGTCCGCTGCTTCGGTATTGGTCGCGAACGGCTTGTGCCATGAAAGAGACCAAAATCCGTTCGCAAAGGATTCGAAATGATCGGGACATAGCACAGGGGGAGAGTGGTCTCGGGTCCATTGGCCGCAAGACTACGGCCGGGGATTTCGCTGGTGGTATTATAGTTGTTTCGTGTACAGGGCGCAGGAACCGTGTACAGGGCGCAGGAAATACGTAGCTTCCAGGCGATAATTTTGTCGTGTACATTATGTTGAGTGTGTGTGTGTGTTTCTGCCATGGCAGGTTAGTGCTGTTGGTGTTGTGCCATGAACATTTGTTCATATAGAGCGAGCAGGGTTGATGGAGTGGGGTGCTTACCTGGCGGCAAAGATGCCAGAAGAAAGAACCCTAAATTTTGGGATATGTGAACGCGACATGTAACTCCGGTGAAGTTTTGGGCGGCATAGACTCAAGTTTTCACCTCTGCGTACAATTGTAGAAAGTCTGGCAATGGAGTGTTGCCGAATTTTGGTAAGAGACTTCGGAGCTGAAAACCGACAACAGGCGTGAAGGCACGCTCGACACCAGACACCAAATGAAAGTCGAAATTACGAAATATCCTTGGCGTTGCGTTCGCTGACCGTCAGAGTGCAGGATTGGGTCGGTTGGGCTGGTGCAAGCGCTGTGATATCCTCCTGCCCTGTTTTGTTGGCGCAGACTTCCCATCAACGGGACGCCCATGTTCGTTGGATGAAGGACTGGCCTGTACGTAGCATAGAAGTAAGATGCTTGAAAAAATTCGCAGGACCAGTGATTATTCCGAGGCTTAAAATGTGAGGGACGTTCCCCGATTCGTCTGGAACCGACCTGTTGCAGATGGGTCTCTTCTGTTCAAGAATTCAATGAATAGACATCAGTGTTGCGAGACCGCAAAGCAGGTGGGAACATAATGTTACACACCGTACGGGACAAAAACAACAAAACTGTAGGCAAGAATATCTTGGCGGCTCAGGTTCTTCGTTATTTCGACCAAACACCGTCGGACCCTCGTTCAACAGGTAATTGGGCGAGAATTTTGAGCTGGCGTAGCTGCACAGATTTAGTTGAAGAGTACGAGCTGTTGCGCACATCGCCCTATTATGGACAAACAGCACCATCAACTTCCCAATAAGATATCTCTGAGGCCAATCTCAGGCATTCTTTCCTTTTAGTCTGACTCGGGGTCCTCGACCGACAAGCGGAGCGCTTCGTTTGCCCCAACCGATATGACCGACTGCTCTTTTCATGTACGGGCGGGAGGGTCCAATGATTTTAATCAACAACTGAACGCACTTATTTGTCGATCTTGTCGGACCTCGCGGTGTACGCAGCACCGTAGCGTACCCGAAGCGACTGAACACCGATCACCCCGACCTCTCCTTACGTTTTCGCCCCGAAACCCCCACATCCCACATCATGCTCCCCATCCGATGTCCCCCATTTCGCGTGCGTCACTCGCGCATCCCATCCGATACTCCCCTGAACCACTCATCGCCAACACCAGACCTGTTCTCACTTGTACACCGAAGTACGGTGAAAGGCAGCGTGTATCTCAAATCAATCAGGGATACGAGGATCGACAACTGCAGGGTGCGGGAGAGAAAAAATCTTCCATCTCGTGTGTGACCGGTCAGCGCCTGAGCAGTGGGCAAAGTCGCTGAGGGCTCTTCTCGAGAACCCAGCAGGCATGGGTAACCATGGTTTGGTAGAGAAGTTGCTGGAAGTTGGAGCAGACGGGAGTGCGGGGTGGCGGGGTGGCGGGGTTGTGATGACAAAACTCATGCGACTGCCGAGGGCGGCAACGAGGGGGTGGTGACAGCGCTCATCAGGGCTGGTGCTGGGGGAGGTACTGAGGCCACAACCTCTGGCTTCGCTCTTGTACCCCTCCATTGTGCTGCACTCAGGGGAAAGGTCGCTGCTGCAGGAGCATTGATGCTTGCTGGGGCGGATGTGAACTCTTGCCATCCACACAACAACACTCTATTTCAATTCGCCGTCAACGCCACACGTGGATCTTGCAAAACTTGCAAATTTGGAAGCAAAACGCTGTGAATCGGAGCCAATCCCCACAAGGGGCAACAAGGGTTTTCACCGTATTCACTTGGCTGATTTCCGTGGCCACGACGGAGTACTACGCACGTTGCTGAAGGAGGGGGCGAAGTGGAATTATGTGGATCACTCAGGGAACCCCACTTCGACTCGCGCCGTCCGGCGGTATTCGGTTTGAAGGTTCTCATGAAAGTTTCAGCACTCATCATGATCATGGCTAGGGCCAAGCACAAAACGAACACGATCCGTGACCAGTGCGGCCAGAACGTTTTTGTATGTATAGCCAGTGGGGGCACGCGCCAAACGCTAGGTGGTTAGTGATACCATGCTTCGCTATGCGGTATGCGAACATGTGACAGTGCTATGTATGGACGGTAGAAGATCACATTCAAGATCACATACATGGTTCTGCCGGTGATCCCGAGCGAGAGACACTTCTGTCGGAGGTAAGACCGTCAGCCGATGAAGAACTACTAGTCCATCATCCTGCCTTGTAGGTAATGCCGTAGAGTTGTCATCATTGGTTACGTACAACTCGTGCGTTCGTCCGCCGGAGAGCTGTAAAGAAGTGAACCAAGCATGCGCGTTGGGCAGATTCGCGCGCAGACTTCCTCCAGCGGCAGTAATACATGTACCCTGGGTGGCGTTGCGGTTCTACCCAAACCTTCTACATCCGATCCACATGACAGCCATCGCATCGCCGTTGTCTCTCCCTCTCTCTCTCTCTCTCTCTCTCTCTCCACACACACACACATCACAGCGGGTTGTATGCTGCATGCAAACGCGCGGAGCACTCCTGGGCTTCCTACTGATACGCCCAAACTGTTCTGTATCTCGTGTGGGTACAGCAGTACGCGCTGCTCCCCGAAAAGCCCCCATCAACCTAGTGCACCGCACCCGAGCTAGCGCTACCTCTTCCGCTGCTTCCGCTTCCGCTGTTGGTGTTACCGGTGCTGGGACGATGAGTTCTTCAAAGGAACCCTCCTCCATTCATTGGTTCAGAAAGGGGCTGCGCTTGCACGACAACCGCGCTTTGCTGGAAGCGTGCAATGGCACAGCGTCCTTGTACCCTTTGTTTGTGCTGGACTCCGACCCCGCATCACCCGAGTCAAGGGCGGGCCCTCTAAGGTGAGGCACGGGCACTCACCTGGCGGGGAGCGCGGGTTTTAGGATTGGTATTCGAGTGTGGTGTTCGTCGTTTGCGCCAGGACAACAGCTGCTGCTGTCGGTGTTGTCCCATCACTGCTGTGGAAAGTTTGAAACGCAGAACTGAGTCAGCCCGCACACACACTCCTATGACATAAACCGTACCGAACAGCGACAAGATTGGAACCAGGAAATTTCATGAGCCTCAAAGTTGCATGAGCCTTATTCCCAATGGGACGGAAGACGGAAGTTCGAATCTCCGAGCACTTTTTTACACGACCATGATTTCGTGGAGCTTTTCCACATCATTCAACGTACGGACCCCTCTCGTGGGTATTTTTGGTATTTTCCATGAGGATTTGAATTAGTCTATGGCGATACCAGATCTGAGTCATCGCACACATGGTGCGGAGAAGTGAAATAGTCTAATGCTTTTTGAAGGCGATGGCCAAAAGACCATACATGTTTGTGCTGTTAGCGAGACCAGTAGCCCATCGTACAGAAATCACTACTTTCGCCGGAATTCAGTTTTGCATACAAATTGTCATGGTCTGAACTACATCTATGCGAAACTTATCAGATTTTCCTCGAATAGGTACAAGCCACGGTCTCGAATAGGCACACGCTGGTTGTTGCACCTGCATCACCGTGCTCTTCTCGTATGTATACACACACCCATCGTACTCGAGGACGGCGTTTCTTCTGGAATCGCTCCAAGATCTCGATGAGCAGCTACGTGCGAAGGGGTCACGCCTCTTCGTCGTCCGTGGAAAACCGGAGGAAGTTCTTCCGCAGCTCTTCGAGGAGTGGAACGTCAAGAAGCTGACGTTCGAGGCAGACTCGGAGCCGCGATCTCGCGCGCGCGATAGAGAGGTGGGTGCTGTTGACGCTGTCGTTGAAAGTGGGCTGGTGAAGGTTCATTGTCCTTTGTTCTGTCGTTGAACTCTCACCGTCCTTTTGGATTAGTCGAAATCACCCCTCTTGCAAGCGGGTGGGTTGATAACCTCGCCGGTACAAAGTCTACCTCCGGTGTTAAAGTTTGCTGCCCGATAAGCCAAATGACATATCACCCAAGCCTGTACTCAAGTGTTGTGCCGTTGCAGCATCTATTGCATTCCGTTTGTCGATTTGGTGGACAAGGTGGGCTCCCTGGCGAAGGAAGCTGGGGTTCAGGTTTTGATTCGAGGAACGTCCACTCTGCGAAACCTTCAAAACTACCACATGCTCATGGGCAAGAAGCAAGGCACATACCTGAAGACCTACGGGGCTTTCCTCAAGGTCGGGCGGTGAATCATTCTCTTTTGTCACCAGTCTTTTGAGTTTCTCCCTCGAGCTTTCGGCAAGCGTATTTGCATTGTTGTGTGGACGATCTTTGCACACACTGGAAATCGTACTAAAGTTTTTAACGATCTTTGCAGCTCGAGCCGAAACCAGAAAATCGTACCTTGACGATCTTTGCAGCTGGAGGGAAACCAGGATTTTCTAGTTAACTGGATCTCTTCGTCGGGTGCTAGCAAAGCTGCCTTTTGCCGTGCTTTCGAGCGTTACCCTTGCCGTGCGCAACCCCGGAAGCTCGCAAAAGCTGGGTGTACCCTATGGTCAGTTTGCACAAGCGAAACAACCCTCGCTTTCTCCTCGCCACCTCTTACCACGTCCCTTCGCCGCGGCGACTATCTCCTTCCCTCCCTATGCATCTTACCGTCGCCTCTCACAGCTGCACGACAACGCGGGCCCTGTGCCCGACTGCGCCCCCGACATCTCCGGAGACTTGCCAGCCCCCGGTGCATCGCCGGACGATGCCGAGTACGACCGCTTTTCGATTCCCTCTCTGTCGGACCTGGGCGTGGAGCCGCTGGCAAAGGCGTTGAAATTTCGAGGGGGCGAGAGAGAAGCTCTTGCCAGGCTCGAACGCGTCATGGTGGGTGATGATCATTACTAGGGAATCAAAGCTGTCCAAAGAAATAAACGGTCGATTATCTGCGCGGCAGCGAGCGTCGCAAGCACTCGGTAACCACATGCAGTGTTCTACATCTTGAAAACTGAACGCGGGGTTGTGTGTTCATTGAGCAAACGGTGATGGTGTGTGTGCTTGCTGAGATGTGCCACGAGCACGGGTCTTTACCCTCCCACACTGCTTGAATGCCGTGGATATCTCTTTGGCGGAAAGACGGTGAATATTTTCTGATTCTTTCAAAGACTTTCTCAACCGCTGGACGGCCAACGTTCGCCTCTTTCCCTCCCAATACGCGATGCGCTATGTGGCTGAGCCAGGCAAGGGAGGACTGGATATCAAAGTTCGAGAAGCCCAAAACCTCTCCGAACTCGATCGAGCCCAGCACAACCGTCCTCAGCATGTACATTTCTCACGGGTGCTTGAGCACGCGGAGGTTCTGGCACGCCCTCTGCAAGGTTTACACCAAAAAGGGTGGCTCCAAGCCTCCGGTTTCGCTCAAGGTGATTTGTACCGCACCGTAACCCGCCTTGTGGTGGGCGACGCAGCCTTGGATTGTTCTCACCGTGTGATGTTTGCCGACTTCTCGAGCGACACATACGAGCGAATGACTGGCTGTCCGACGTTGTCATCATCGCACGATGTCGGCTTCGCCGTGAGGTGATGGGTGCAAAACATTGTTCCGCTTCCCGGGTGGTTGTACCGCGGAGTCGGGCGTTTTCAGCTTTCGGACCCTCCCAGAGTCTCCCGCGCTCTTTTAAACGTTGTTCTCGTCGTCGGTCCTCTGGTGTGCAACAGACTGAGCAGCAAAGTTCCCTATCCGAGACCAACTGAAACAAGTTTTTAGGTTTTTATTTTTGAGTAGCCTGTGCGTTACGGTAGTCGTTCGCGGCTATGTAGACGAATGCGCCTCTTTCGCAACCGTGACCCTCGTATTCCAGATTTTGTCCGTGCATGAAAACCTCTCCCAAATCGAGTATTCTCAGGGGACAACATTCTCACAAGTTCGCCGCAACTCGGGTGATTATGGCTCCGGAGTCTGGTTACGCGTTTTTGTTGATGCATTGAACGTAATGCCTCCCCATCATTGCTCCGTTAAACAGGGCCAACTATTGTGGAAAGAGTTTAACTATTTCAGTGGGTACTCCATCCCCAGCTTCGACAAGATGGTCGGCAATCCCGTCATCAGGTGGGGCTAGGTCTTTGTCCTTGTTAGAAAACGTTCCGAACGCAGACGCTCGTTTTGCGCTACCACTATGCGTTTGAGAATATCCTTGCGAGGGCTTGCCTAAATTTGTCGCAAGGAAGATTCAACCGTTCCTTTCCTTCGTCCGGCGTGAAGTCGATGTTGCGCCTCCGAATAGATTATCGCTTTCCACATGGTTTGTGCATGATGTGAGATAGAAGCGCAATTCGTGTGACTGCACTTAGATTCAAACAAGCGTCAGAGGTTGCGACGTTACCAGGTGAACGACTGAGTCCCTACTCAAGGTGCACGACGCTTAATATGACTGCAACCCCCCCCACAGTTTGATGTTCAGGGTTCATAAACGTGTCCACGCCATGATCTCTTTTAGAAGTACATGGGACGCGGTCAGGGTTCTTGCACCTGCTTTGTCCCGCCGTGCTTTTTCGGGAGCGCTGCAGGCAGATACCGTGGGACAAGGACGAGGAGAAGCTGATGGCGTGGAAAGAGGCCAGAACCGGATTCCCTTGGATCGACGCCGCTATGACGCAGCTCAAGGACGAAGGGTGTGTATTCGTTTTGGGGAACATGCGCACTTCAAGAATATTCCGAGTTTATCCCAAAATGATTCACACCGATGAGCGCCTTAGTTTCTAGTCCGTGGTTAAATGCCTCTAGAATCCCTCGGGGTAATCACGTTGCTTCGAAGCACGTGCTTTTTGGTTTTTTCGTTGCTGCTGCTGTTGGCGAAGAACTGATCATGTCACGCCGGCCGGGCGCGCCAATCGTACGCCACCTTGGCTTCCTCCTCCATTGACACGGATGGCGCAGCACAAATGACCGCCTTAAGTGACGGCCTCATACTGCCCTACACATCACAACGATGGAAATGAGGTCGCCCCGATGATTCAGCCGATGCCGTCTTACCCGTTCTGAAGGGTGGTGAGTTCGATCCTCAACGAATGACATGGTCTTCAGTTCTCCGCAGCTGCTGAACGCATGGTTGTTCGTAAACCAGCGGGCCCTTGGTGGAGAATAAGAACGACTGAGTTGCTATTTCTTTGTTGAGAAACGAAGGAGAAAAACGTAGAGAAACCTTGTCCATGATCCTGCGCCGAAAGTCTTCTCAAAAGAAGACTGTTGACAATGGTGGCAAGGCGAGGAACGCTAACGGAATGATGCGTATTTGACGACTACTGGGTGCTCAACGCGATTGCCAATTTGCTCTATTGTGCACCACTCCCAGATGGATTCACCACCTTGCTCGCCACGCAGTGGCTTGCTTCCTGACGCGGGGTGACCTGTGGCAGAGCTGGGAGGACGGAGCTGCCGTTTTCGACGAGCTGTTGCTCGACGCTGATTGGAGCATCAACAACTTCAACTGGCAGTGGTTGAGCTGCTCGGCCTTTTTCTACCAGGCAAGTCTCTTTGCGCTTTTCAAGCCAATCACTTGTACCCTAGCGTGCTTGGATGGTGGTGTGGTATGATTCGTATTGTCGTCTCATGGTCACCTAGACAGGGTGCCACCATTGTCATGCTGTGAGTACCCTTGTGATAAGCAGTCCTACCGAGGAGAGTTTTAGCGTTTGTCGTGGGAGTGCAAGGGGTGAATCGAAGGTGGGCAAGGCTACGAATGCCGCGAGAGGACGTAAGCCCTTGATGAGCGATAAATTGCGTATACTGTCGTACTATTGGTGTGCTCCCATGACCGCGGACGTGTGGAGATGCTACCGCTTGGGTGGCTTGGCGATATTTGACAAGTTAAGCGAGTGGCAGACTTATACGGTCATTCTTGTTAGCGTTGTGATAGCTCAGTGTGTGAGGTGTCACCTAACGTCAGTAAGAGTATACCGACTACCAGAGAGGAGCCGAGTCATTGGTGTTTGCAAGCTTTATTTTTTTCCCGTTTCACTAATATCTGTCGTTGTGTGTGCATGTTGTCTCTTTCCCATGCAGTACTTCAGGTGCTATAGTCCAATTGCCTTTGGAAAGAAGACAGACCAAAATGGGGACTACATCAAGAAGTACTTGCCAGCCCTCCGAAAGTTTCCGTCGAAGTACATCTACGAGCCATGGACGGCACCGTTACAGGTACGGCTGGTGACTCAACGGTTGCCACAACGAGAGCAACTGTGTAGTCGATGACCGGAGTGAGTAGGGACGTGCTCGATTTGCTGAACCGTTGTGGTGAATATTGCTGCTGCCATCGTGATCGATGAATTGACGGGTACGAAAAACCAGCCGGGGAGCACAAAGTGGAATGGTAGCGGAATGCTCTACTCTCCCTGCAACAGAAATAATTGCCGCGATTGTGGACATCGTCTGAGATACCCTTGACAAGTGGGCAAGGCTGTGCCTCTCGATGGTACTCGAGATGGTACGCCCAGGCGCCGTTGTTGTGACGTCGGCACGTAGTATGTGCGTCTGTATGGGTGAGACTGCAGCAATGGATGCTGGGCAGCCTAGGTCAGATCCTCAACCTAGTCACGTACTGAGGCTGCACTCTGCAAGTGAAAGATATATTGAACAGCCGCAGATTATTGTACCACTGCCTTGGAATCCACGTGTTGGATGTAGTCTAGTCTACATGTCGGATTTTGAAACTGGTCGTCAGCAGCACCGATAGGTGGTGTTGGATGGATGTCCTCCTCCCACTCTCTCGTGATAACATATTCGCCTCATCTAGCCTCTTTGTTCTTTGTTCTTTGTTCATTCGCACTCCAACGGGCTCCCAAAAGAGAGACCCCTTAACAGCTCATTCTTCCACAAATTTCAGGTGCAACGAGGTTGCGGATGCATCATCGGCAAGGACTACCCGAAGCCCATCGTCGACCACGCCGACACCTCCAAGGCCAACATGGCCAAGATGAACGACGCTTACGATGCCCACCAGGAGGCGCAGGCTGCAGAATCCCACGATGACGGAGGCAGTGGCAGTGGCGGTGGTGGTAGTGGTGGTGGTAGTGGTGGCGGAGCAAGGTCGCGTGCTCGAGGAGCACAGCCGGCGTCTAGTAAGAGAGTCAAGCGTTGAGGTTGAGTGGCGCACTCGTGAAATTCTTTAGACCAGGGTTTTCGTGACATTGATTTCGTTTTGGGGGGCCTTTTCCAGATTGGGTGGCATCGTTCCTACGAGTGAATTCGATACGGGCGTCAGCATTGTCGCGCAGTCACACAACAGTGATTTACTTACGGTGGCGTGGAATACAAATCGCTCGCCCGGTACCACTTGTTGATGAAGTCACACACGCTGAGGTGATTTGGTGGCTGCGGGGCGAATGGCAATGATATGCGGTGCTACGAGACTAAGTCTTCGTGGCGAACCAAGGAAGAGAACCATGGATCCGGTGTGTTACGGTTTCACCAAACTGGCGAGGGTATACACTGCTATTCACTCACAACACAGCCGTGGTGCTTGGTTGATCTAACAAAATCGACACCTTTATCTCTCAATGCACGACGCTGACTGCAGCTTCGTGACCGCAACTCTCGCATGACGGGATTCAAACTCACACACCCCGCGAAACGCCAATTGTACCTATGCGTGGGTCCACAGCTTCCTCGATCTAGATTGCCACGGTGTAGCAGTAGCAATTGGAGCTGACGAACATGCCTCAAAACAGAGTGAAACCGATAAGTCAAGAACACATCGCCTCCAGAGCCGCCATGACAAGCTCTCGCTTAGACATGCTCGATTCTTCGAAAGCCTCCGATCTGGAAACCCTGTCCAGCTGGAGAAGCACGGCCCGCGCTGCCGCGGCCGATAGATCTGGCAGCGCCAGTGAAACTCCCAGCTGCAGAAGTTCAAGCGGTGCTGATGCTGTGTCTTCTTCTCTCTTGGATTGAATGGTGGTCGTTCCGTTGAACGTTGTAGAGTCGAACAAATACTCGCCAGCGTTCCGTGACGCCTGCGTTTTTCGAGGTGATTGCGGAGGGTCATCGCTAGGATTTCGAAGAACAGCAGGGGTCAAGACAACTGCTGTAGCAAAACTACAAATCCGCGACCACATCACGCCGCAAGGATGGCCTAGGAAGGGGGGAAAAGGACGTAAGGTAGGGTTAAGCATGACAGGGTGCCGTGCTTGCATCACAGAGAAGGGGAAGTGAGGGGAATGCAGAAGGAACCAAAAACCAAAGAAATTGCAGCCGTAATCCAAATAAAAAAGCTCGTTCATGAGGTGCAGGGACGGTAGCACGAAGGTCATCCGGGCACCAGACTACAGTGTAAAAAGTGACTCGAGCATCAATAAAGTGAAATGCAAAGAGTATCGCACATCGCCACGTCTCACCAAGCACTCCACCAGAAGAGCTTCTGCCTGCCGAGTGAGGTCGGGCACGAGATATTCGTCCGCGATGAGGGCGAGCTCGGACAACTCCCTCGTGGACAGCGACGTGTCCAGCACGCCAGTGTACAAAAACTCCAGAAATAGGCCGAGAGACTGCGGGGTGAGAAGTGGAGAGTGGAGTTCTATTTCTCTTGGCGCCGGATTACGTCGGGGACGCCGGCGACGGTGGCATCTCCGGTCGCTGGGTGGCGAGGGTCGGCGGCTGTCACTTCGAGGGAGCTGCGAAACCTCCCCATCTTGGCCACTATTGTCCACAGCTTCGCCTTGGTTGTGACCAACAGGTTCTCCTTGCTCCACATCACCCCATGGAGATTCCTCTCTATTCCTGTGTTCGCCCTCAGGTATGTCAGCATCGGTGGAAAAATCATCGTCCGTGCTCCTGCCGTCGACGCTGTCTGCGTAGGTTCGGCTATCGCCGTCTTGTCGTTGCACAAAACGTAGCATTGCTGCGAACTTTTCCGATCTAGAGGCCAGCACCATGGAATGCGCCAGGAATTGGCTGTTCTCAAGTTGATCCTTCGTGGTCCGTTCCACTTTGGGCGAATCGGCCATCGGCCGTCCTGAGCCTTCGTCCTTCACGAGCCCTCCTGACGACACTCTGGCGGGAGAATCAACCGCGCTATCGGCTGAGTGCGCATCCCGCTCGCTGGACTGTACACCAACCCTGCCACCCGGACTGAGACTCTCTCGATTTCCTGAGTCGTTCTTCTCGTCCTCCTCCCCGTTGTCGATCACCGTCGCCGGCGGCATTGCGTGTGAGTGGCTAGGTTGCCCGGGAAGGACCAAGACAGCGTCGGCTACCGTTCCGGTCCTGAGGAGCCAGCCCATACCGTGGGAAAACGCGGAGACGTTCGACACGAGCGGAACAGCAGGTCGGTCAGCGTTCCACCTGTCCCCGTCGCAACGAACCGCATCGCAGCAACCTCGGAGCTTTGGTGGAATCGGACGCCACCGCTGCGGAGCAGCGAGTGGGTCGGGCGCCTCGTTCTGGCAGCGTGGAGATTCTTGAGGACACGCGTCGGCCAAGGCTGCCGTGAGAAGAACCGCGCGCTCCTGGCGCCCAATAGAAAGCGTCGATGTACACCTATATGGGATGCACCGGGTGTAATGCTAAAAGTTGAGAAAGGCGTTGTACCATGTGATGAACCTTCACTAGTTCTTCGAGGATTACGCATAAAAAAAAACAGGGCGCAGTAGAAGTATGGTCTTGGAAAACAAGTGTGGTTGCCAAGGCAGCACGCAACCCTCACCGGATCGTGTCTAGCAGGAGAGGCACCAGCTGATCAAAGTCCACAGCTCGCTTGCGCAGTGACAAGTCGACTGCTCGCTTGGCAGCCGCTACTGTAGCGGAAGCAGAAAACGTGGACACCGCCCCAGATGAAGACCACGCGTGCGCAGGGCCCGATCCCAGATACCCGCTGTTGCTCAACCGAGCCAAGCCCCTTGTCACATCCGACGTGTTGAGAGAAGGGACGACCAGCTCCCGGCGCAACTGCGACGTGTACAACATGTAACCGACGAGGTTAGACGGGGTAGACGGGTGGTGCACAATGATAATTCTTTAACTTGCACCCCGGTACATGCAATGCAACGAGTTGCGATAAACCTCAACGCGAAAACAGGGTTTGGTCCTTCTGCGCAACACCACACGGAAAAAGTTAACTGTAACCTGGGGTATGGTTAGAACACGATGAGAAAAAGCAAAACGCGAGACGATATCCCCCATCCACCTTCATGACTGCAGGGAACACGCCGTTGGCTTGCATGTACAGCGTGCACCGCTTCTCCAAGTCTGTTGCCCGCAGGACGCGAGCCGCCCTCAGCAACCTCGCCGCTTCGTCGTGCTGAAGAGACCGAGCTTTCCCCTTCTGCGGCGACAGCCTGGCAGACAAGAGGTGCTCCACCTGCCGGATCAATCGGTTCATCCTCAACGATACCGAAGCGACGAGCAGTCGCCCCAGGCCGTCCGCGTGCATGTTCGATGGCGGTTGGCCGGTGTAGACGTGCTTGACTACCGCCGACATGGTACCCGCACCCCAAAATCTTACGGAAACTTCCCCCCTTTCGGGCCCCCAGTCTATGACGGCCGGTGCCCACCAGGCCGCATTCTCCACTGTTGCGGTGGCAGCAAAGGCCGCCGCAGCCACCGCCGCTTCCGAGATTGATGGTGAAGTCTGGCGTTGATGCTCTGAGGCCGCGCCTCGTCCTTGACCAGGTGGGTCGTGTCCGGCTAGGAGGTGATGTACGTCGCGCGAGCGTGTGCGTTGGTCCATCTCAAGCCTATCGGCAGCCGCCGCGGCGAATTCCGATGCTCCAGGTACAGGTTGTCGCTTTGAAGAACTGCCGCCGCGGGCTGCTGGACATGTGCGGCGAGAGCAGCGGCCGTGCCGGCGAAGGAACAGGTCGCAGAAGGTTCCGCTGAACGCCGCCAGAAGACACGAATGGGCTGGCAGACGCGACCCGTCTTCCAAAACGAGCTCGATGTCGCACTCACCGAGGGCGGGCCTGAGCCCCCCTACGTATTCCGCTGGACGTCCCGGCCTCGTGGCCGCTTCTCCCTCCGCCGCCGTCTCTTTCGAGCCGCCTGCGCTAGGCTCCCGACGTGCCAAGTCTTTTTCTCGCCACATTTCGCGGATGTCCACAGACTCCCTGTCCAACATGTCGCAGTCGTACTCAGGGTCGACCTCGAGGCCACCCCCATTAGGAGGAGCTGAGTCGGAGATCTCAGACACCTCGGGGGACAGTCTCTTGAGTATGTCCGCCTGTACAGGAAGTGTGATCGCAGGGGTAGTGGCGCTTCCCGCTCCGCCATTCCCGCTCCAACCGCCGCCACGGTGGCTTTCGCCTGGGCTGGTTCCGGCGTAAATTACTTGTCTTCCTTGAGCGACACTGATTCCAACCATGTCAGGCACCGCGAAGCAGGACGCATTTAGAAATGCATTGGAATGGGTCGAGGAAATTTTCTGCCTGGGTGGAGGTCGGCGATGTCGCATTGCGTGTATCGCAGAATCCTTCTCGGTCTAAGCTGTTCTACTCACCAGGCGTAGACAGTGCACAGATATGACGGTCAAGAACTAAATGAAGGAGCAAGGATAGCTCGCTGTAAGCAGAATTCACACACAATTCTAAGGATTGACCCAAGATTATGCTGACCGAGTCTTGCATGTATCACCTCTTGTCCTCAGTAGCCCCGGCGCCCGAAGGTTCCAATTTTACTGCCCGCAACGTCCGCTCATTGATGCGTGCTCCACCCTCGATCAGCGCTGCGGCACATGCAAGCTGTCCCTCACGCAGAGCAAGCTCAAGCGGCTCCACTCTCCTGCGCATGGAAAAAAGGCGCCCGGCGGTTGGGGGTGACGCTTGGCTAGCGGCATGATGATTGGAGTTTTGATAAGAGTTTTAGGCCCGGAAGAGCAATTCTCCGCCACACATATCCAATGCCGGCATGGAACGCAGATTTTCACCGAACACACTCGCTGCCATGAAGCACTCAAGGGAACAAAGGAATGCAGACCTGCTTATGTACAATTCCATCAACGGAAATGATCTAAACTTCAGTGAAAGCTTCCCGACGAACAATCTACCCATTTGTTGCATACTCACATACAATCGCCAAATCTCAGGATATCTTTCAGAGTCAGACCCAGAAACTCTGCGCACATGAAAAATGAGTAAATGTGAAGCGCTACTTTTTGGTTTTGTTGCCGGATTTCCGGGGGTCTGGGAAGGGTATACGACCTGCGGGACCTCTGGGACCCCAGAAACTCGGTGGCAACAGATGAAACTAAAAGGCGTGTCACGACAGCGTTTTGCGATTTCCCTACAACAGTACTTTTTGTGCAAAATGTCGGAGGATACCTCCGAAAACCGCGGCGTGAGGTGTTGATGTTGAGAAATGTGGGATCATTTCCGTGAACCAGCTTGTGCGCATGTTGGAACTCGGCAACGACGGCTGCGTCCACGAATATTTTGCATTCTGCATTCATGCGCCGCGATACGTAAAAATAGTGCCACAACCCAACCTTCGAGCCATCATCTTTTCCCGTGGCCCCGTTGGAGCTCGCCCGTCTGCGCCAGTTAGCCTCCCGTTCGACTTTCCTCCGTCAAGAGGCGCGCCGTGTTGAGAGAGGAGTTCCACTGCCGAGGCTTGTCCGGCCCTGATCGCGACCACCAACGGCGTTTCTCTGTGCATGTCCCACAGAGACCAACCAGCACATCGAAAAGCAGCAAGAAAGAGGGATTATACAATGAGGCCAAGTTTTAAAATCTCGTGAAACGTATTTTACTCGCCATGCTGGTTTCCCTCCTACTCATTCGAGTGGGAAAAGATTGAGAAAACGAGCCGGGTGGCGCCTCGTTTGGTGTAAAAGCCATCGCTATTGAGATTATCAGAGCATTGTCAACCATCCACGCCAGTGAACATGTCGCATCCAAACCGCAAACCCAAAACACCCGATGCCTCCCCCACTTATAGCCCACCAGCCTGCCTCAACTTACCCTCGTGCATTCTCTCTACCGACCATTGCTCCAGCGTCCAGCAAGAGCTTGGCACAGTCTATCTGCCCCGCCCTAACCGCTCTCCCGAGCGGGGTGTCCCCCCCGACTCCCGCCGCCGCATCTCTCTCCTCCAACGAAACGCCGAGTTGCAGCAACAGCGACAACGTTTCCGGTTGGCCCGAAGCGGCAGCTTCGTGCAATGGGGAAAGAGCCGAAACGGGGACGCCATTCCCCTTTCCTCCATTCGCTCTGATGCTGTTGCTCGACCCAGGGTTCATCGGAGACTGCAGGGCTCGTCGTTTCCCGGTGGCATTTCCTCGAGCCCTACTCGCTGGGTCGCTCATGGCAACCATCGAATACGGCGCGGAATCATCTCGACTGCTGGGGGCAGTACAGGAGGTGTGCAATAGAATCAGCAAACAAAGGGGAGGGTCGGAGATAGACTCTCGCCGTTGGGATACACGGGAGAGGGCGATGGCCTATTCTTACTTCATCGGGCATTAGAAAGGATTGCACACCAGTCCATAATGTCTTGCACAACATTGCGCGCCTACCGGCAAAAGCCAGAACGATGCCCAGACGAAGCGGTGCACATGCGCGGCGTGGCGTCTGGCACTCGATATACTCGTGCCGGTCATGATCCTGGAGGAACACGAAGGGTAGCCCATTGCGCCCACGTCCTTTCATACGCCAGCGCAACAACCAAAATACAAAATACCTCAAGCGGTTCGCGGCATACACCTCCTGCCTTCATACATGGTACCTGCTCTTCCACGCCTGGTTGCTGTTGGCCATGGTCATAAGGAGCTCCGCCTGGCCGCTCCTTGCCGCCTGCACAACTGGGGTAACGCCTGTATCGGCGTAAAAAAACGATCCACATGCACGGAACGGGTACGGAATGCATCACACGGAATGGGGAATGGTGCGGCGTCTCGCTACGCTGCTGCAAATCAAGCATCACAGTAGTATCAAAGCGACGGTAAACTTGGCCGGCCAATTTGTGAATGAAAACAGTATTTCCACAACCCACAACACTACGAAGCATGGGCCGTGGGCAAACGTCACAAAGACAGAGTCGTTGAAAATTCGCTCGAGAAGGGGGGGAACGTCTTAGCAAACGTGAGTTCAACACGGAGAGAGTTCGACGCTTATTGCCTTAACGAAGCGCCCAAAAACGCAGCGTCTGCTTTGTATGTGTTCCGCGGAACAGCCCGCTCAGTTTCCCGGCGACAAGACAACAAAAGCTGACTCACCGTGCAGATCTGGTTCATCGAGGCGAGCTCCGAAGCCAAGTAGAACCGCAACCGCATCCGCGCTGTTTGAGCGCACCGCCAGGAGTAACGGGGTTTCTCGGTGCCGGTTGCGAACGTTAACCTTTGGGAGACAAGTGGTTTGAATAGCGGTGCAATTGGTTAAGGGGGTGGGCATGGAAGGACGCAGGGCAGCTTACGTGTCAACTATCAACATTGTTCCCCCCACTTTGGTTCTTGGTTGGTAAGAGACCACACCGACTTCATCCGTGCGGCATGAATTTGATTATCTGTAAACCATGTGCACCCCGATGTGTGCGCCAGTAACCGTGCAACCAGATTTTTCATCGAGTTCTCAGAAGTTACTCGTTAAGAGCAGAGTGTCCAAGCGGAGCGAAACATCTGCTTGTCAGTCCAAGGTATACAGGTGTCTACCCACTTTACATACCTTCATTCGTGCCGCACACAGGGCCTTTACGATGCCACACTTGCCAGAGCGAGCAGCTTTGTGCAGAGGGGTCTCGCGCCAGCGATCTCTCTGATCAAGCTGCGTACAATAACGAGCAAGACGCGACCGAGGGCATGAAGGCAGGGGAAACGCACAGAGAACGATCTCAAAGTTCAAAACCTTGATGTCAGGAAGCAACAAGCGTACCGACAATGGACCAGACCTGGAAAAGGGAGTCACTATGTTTCTCTTCACGGCATGACAAGGCAACACACCGTCACGGAAAATGACACGTCGCACTGTACCGTAGTACGTTGTTGTGCGCAAAATGTCAAGACCCAACACCTGTCGGAATCCAGCTGCAGAGTTGTTATACCTCGCTTCTAGGCAAAACCACACTTACCCTCGTTCCCTGCTTGAGCAGAAGGTTCACGCACTCGAGGGATCCCGCCTCGGCAGCCAGATGCAACGGCGTCCGACGCAGCTGGAAACAGAGTAAACCATCACAGGAGTCATCGACGACGTGAACAGAGGAAGGGGAGGGAGGGTAACACGGTCCATAAGATGTCCACGAGAACGGTAAGAGATTGCGCAGGCCGCTGTAGCAAGGATTTCGGCAATATTCGGGTGGGATTCCACTCAGTAGTAGATACACGGCTGCTTGTGGCTTTCTCCAACAGCACAGAACGTGGGAGCTCCTGATCCTAAAGAACCGTTGATTAAAATCCCGTCCCATTTTCTCGGACCTTGTCTTTGCCATCTGCCGCTCTGCCTCCACTCCGCACAAGAAGGTCATTCAGAAGCCCAGCCATGCCCGCTTGGCACGCCGCATAGACGTGTTCCCCGGTGACGGCAGGTAAGCCGCCGCCGCCGCAGCTATCACGTCCACCATCTTCCTCGGAAAGTTCCGAATCGACTTTGGTGGTCTCCGGGCGACATGACGCCGGCCCCGCGGCTTCGTTAAGCTCCGCGTCTGCTGCTGGTATGCTTACAATCGCTGAAATGTCCCGGTGGGACTCGTCCTCGTTGAGTGGCGACGACGTATTGGTTCCCATCGGCAGCGTGGCTGTGCTCACGGAAACGAGGGCGACCTCGGCACGCTGAATTGCCGCCATGCCCGAGGCGGAGACTGTTCTTGGGGGTAGTGGCGACACGCCCGCTCCTAGAACAGCACTGCTGCTGGCTTCTGCAGTAGCGCTTGTCATTGCCGTGTGTGCCGACGAGTCACGACGATCTTTCGCTTCTCCTTCGTCGTGATTTTCATCTGAGCCACTACGTATGCCCTCTTCCGCGCTGCTGTGGTTACCATCGCCACCATTCCAGCCAAGCACGGAGGCTGCGCTACCGAGAGTGGCGCAATCCTCCGCCGTCATCAGCGCCCTTTCGGCTGCCTCCCGCTGTCGCTGGGCCTTCCTCGCAGCCTCAAGCCGAAACCAGCGGTCACGCAACCTAGTTCTCAGGGCAGCGGTCTCCGCGCTAGCGCACCTTGTGACGCTGTTGGCCGCGGCCGCCTGTCGTGAAGGGGGAGACGGCAGCTTTGGTGACTGTGAAGGTAGAGCCGAGATCCCACGAGAAACGTCCCCATCAGTGCCCATCGACCCGGGCGAGGACCCCTCCAGCACTCGCAAATCGGACGAGATTGGGAGAATGGCACTGCTAGTGCTCCCAGGTTTCGCTTCGCCGCCTCGACCACTGCCGAAGCTTGGTAGGACGCTGAGCCGCGAGAAACCATCTCCCGCTGCTGTACCATCAAGAGCACCGGATGATCCCGCTGCTGCCTTTGCCGCTGCCGCTGCCTCGGTGGCTAACCTATCGGCCAGTGAAGAGTAGTTTAGTCCGACAGTTCTTGCCGCCGCCGTTACCCCCGACGGGGGCTGAAGCGGTGTCAACAATTCTCCCGGCGTGTTGCGGTGCCCGCTTGCAGGCGGAAGGGCAGGGAACGCTTCGTCGTCTTCTTCGTCCACCCCATCTTCGGCGAGGGTGGATGGCAAAACCGGCGGTACCTCAGACACCTCTCCTAAACGAGAAACCACCGGAGACCGGATTGGTCCGATCTCCTTGCTGCTTCCCGATTGGTCAACCCCTGCTGGGCGTCCTCTGGCACCCGTTCCATCGCGCTTCCGCATACCGGTATGGGCGTCAGCTCGAGCGCAAGGACAGCGTAGAGTGCTCCCTCGCAGATCAGAAGCCTCAGCCTCGTTCTGACGTGCAGCGCGCTTTGGGCGCGGGGGGTGGGGAGGATTATCCATACCATGCCCATCCGCAGGGTCGAGTCGCTGGTCTCGTGTGTGTGTTCGCCGTCGGTTGTTCCTGTTTCGGGGGCGCCCCCCAGGAGGGGCTTGCCCGGGTCCGCGAAGGTGTGTCCACTGGGGCGCGCGGTACGCATCCTGCGGAACGGAGTCTCTAGCAGCGCTTCCATTGTTGTTGCAGGGGGTGGTCGGAGAGTGAGGCGGGACACGAGCATGCGGCAGAGGCTGTAAGTAGCGAGCGATGTAGTTGAGGCCCTACCGGGGGAATGGACACGTAATGGCATACGTCTTGAAAACCTCCGCGCAGCTGTCAAATGCGCTGTGCCTTAACATGGCAACGTTCTCGATGAAGCAGAAATGGTTCGAGGTGTCTACAGGATAGCAGGTTTCACGTCTAGCTGTTGTCCTCTCCTCGGCTGTTGACAGATGACCGGCAAAGCAACGCCTACTGGAACTTAACAGTAGTGGGAGAGCTGCAAACCAAGAAATAAGCCAGTTGCTCGATACATCTGCATACATAAATATGTTGTGTCACACCCCTTGCACTATGTACCAATGGCGCCTCTACGGTTTTCCGTGGAATTCAATGCCCGCAGTTTAGATGCTCGTATGTACCTTTGCATCTACAGTACACACATAAGGTTAGTTCATGTCACAGCCCTTGCACGAATGTCACGGCTGTGCCGTGTATTCCGCTGCCGGCAGTTGAGACTGGCTCGATTACGCAACTTATTGCTTGCTATTTACGTTTGCTACCTTTGGAGAACGTAAACGGTTGTTTATGCTCCCTGAACCATCCGGCACACTATTAGTCTAGACTACAGCGTTCCGCAGCTGACCTGCCGGGGGTAATTCCCTCTGCGGTATACTGGGGTATTGTGTATTTTCAGCTGTTTTTCGACTAGACTCTACTGCGGCACCCACCTGGGAGCGTGCCTTCTCCTGCTCTCGGACCGAGAAGCCGCCTCGATGGCTTCGGTTGAGCCTCCGCCTTCCCCAGCTTCACGCCCATTGTGTCCAGACCGAGAGCGTCTTCGGCTGGCGTGCGTCTTTGTGTCTGCTCCTCTCCCCTGCCTATTCCGGCTTCTAGTCTGCGCCGGAGCTTCCCGCCGTCCCCTCAGCCCTTCGCCATGGACGTGATCTCGACCTGCTCCACCATCAGGGAGGCTGTTGCGTCGTCCTACCGGGATCGATGAGCTGCTGTGGTTGATGTTGCTGCCAGACGAGGGCGGTGGGTTTGCTGTCCCTGCTGACGGGACAAACACAGATGCCTGCGGGTTTAACGATGACACGGGGGTATCCCTTGGCTTCTCCCTCATCAACCTTGCGAATGGATTGGAGTTGGGTTGAGTAGCCAACGCGAGCTTGATGGTTGCCCGTACGACCACGCTCGGGAGAGAGGCAGAAGAAGCCGAGACGCCGAGGCGCGCATCGATACAGGACTGTTGTTACTAGCTCCCCGAGGAGCCCCTATGCCTCCGAAAATTAGAAATCCGTTTTGAACATAGATGCACCGGCTCTTTTTGGTTCGGCGTGACCTCGCTGAACCTCACATTCTCACAATTTGTGCGCGTCGTGCGTCGTCGTTCCGTGGTTCCCCACCACGCACACTGCGCATAGTGGGGAAAATGGACTGCGCACAACGCACAACTTTCTATCCAGGTGCATGTATGGTGCATGTATTGTTTCGTTACAGGATCATGCACTGAAAGTGGTAAGGGTTTCGCTGCCGTGTCGAAGACCTGCTGGTACGCATCCATCCGTAGGACGTCTCTAACTGATCCGGTTGAATCACTTACAACAGCAATGCAAGATCGGTCACCACGAAGAACGTCTTGTTTCGCCCGAGACTCGGTCTCTTTTAGACTAGACTTTGGCTGGAGAGGGCGTCGGGCAATACGTCGGATTGAAGTTGTTCGTTTTAGATTTGATCTGTTTCAAATTCTTGCGACTGACTGCTGTGGAGGTCAGGATATGGAGATTCAGGGAGCACAGACACACGTACATAGAGAGTATCGTGGGGGGATGTGTGATAATAGATCCCTCTGTTCTTCTGAATGGCCCATGACTCTTGCGATTCCCAACAGCTGCGAATGGTTGATGAATCCTTAGGAGGATGGGAAAATGAGTCCACGAAGGCTCCACACGGTAAACCAGGACGTGAGTAGCACGGCGAGATATACTTTAAAAGCCACTGACCTGCCTCCTGATCTCAAGCTCGAGGGTCTGCCTCATCAAGATGTTCCTGAAAACATGGCACTTTGCAGGGCACACATCGGTCTGTTCTCTGCAGACAGCGTCTCTCAAAGCACGGGTTACCGGGGTAGGGTTGTCCTGGTTTACCGTTTGCTGGTTTACCTTGGTTCGTTGAGGCCTGGTTTATCGTGTTGTGGTGTACCGGGTTCTTGATGCGTAAAACTGTCGAGGTAGAGACGCACTCTGAGCCGGGGTCTGTTGAACACTTGCTGTTGTGCGCATACCAAAACTATTTTCTGCTGCTAGATCATGGGCAAGCGAACGCCGATTCACCTGCGGGATATCCGGCTGGTGAGCGGCTCCCGGCATGGTCATGTTGAGGACCCATGCTGGCGGGGCCTTCTCCGTATCGACTGCCTTCTGGATCTCGCCGACGAAGACGGCCTCAATTGGGCTGCCGCTCACCAGGAGTGACGTGCTCTGCTGGCTGGCGGCTTCAGCGCGGTTCCGCAGGATGTCCTGCGCGAAGTCGTCGTTGCCGTCGTCGTAGCCGTCGCCGTCGTCGTCGTTGCGATCGGCGTCGCGGTCGGTGTGTGTGTCCGCGTCGGTGGGGTGAGCGCTACCGTTGTTGGTGCCGTCGCCAGCGCTGCCGTTGTTATCGCTGTCGCGACCCTCACCGGCCAGTGCACGGTAGTACCCGCGGGATTCGCCGTGGCTACTGCTCTGCGGGGTTGCTACGCTCGCGGCAGCGCCGGCGGCTTCTCCAGGTTGCTTCGGTTTCGGCTGTCCCGTTTTGGGGCTCAGCCGCGGGTTTCGCGGTGGGCGCAGCAGCATCGGGACGCGGCTGCTTCGGCTGCTTCGGCTGCTACTGCGGCTGTTGCGGTGCTGCATTCTTCTTGTATTTCCCATGTTTGGTGCGTAGATTGTAAAGAGAAAACGCTTCGTCGAACGCCAATATGGAGCCCTCTACTCTGGGTGAGCGGAGAGTCCAGAGTGTGGTGGCCATGACCTGCCACCGGAGGCTGGTTATTTCCTTTGGTTCGATGTGGCGAGGAATGCCAAGCGTGACCGAGCGAACTCAGTCCAGCTATCGGGTGGTGCAGAGTGTCTCAAATTCGAAGCAAATAATGTTGGTTTCAAGCGCGTTCGGCACAGATTCAAAACTCAACTGGTTTTGCAGCACACGTACATTCTGTGGAGGTGTTTATTTTCTGTATCGTCCGGAAGCTTAACTGGAATCCCATGCCTGTGTGTGTCGACACCCCTCCTTTCTTCTTAAGCTCATAATCATCCATCTCTTTCAAAGAACTACTGCACGGGTACGGCCGCTGTGTACGAAGGTGTAGTGACCAACCCGTCCGTCGGGAGGCATATTCTCCTCACAATGAAATGGCACCTCAACACGACTGACTACTAGCTGTCGCGTTTTGCTGTGAAACAAACAAATATAGGAACCCTCGCAAACTCTCGCCCGAGACTACGTACAGGACGAGGGACAACACTGCGTACATTTTTTTTTAGGTAACTCGTTTCAGCTGTTACATGTACAAGGTGTCTGGACTTGACGTGTTGAATGTTTCCTCTGAGGATGCGGATTGGGCGTGCTGAGCGGGAAAATAGCCGAGAGAGTTCTAATGACAAATGACGAATACGCCATTTGATCATTCCTCCCCATAATTCTTCATGTATGTATGGATGGATGGATGCAAACCGATCGGGCCAGTGGTTGTCCACGCACTCGTCACTGTGCGTGCTACATCCATCTATAGTTGGACAATGTCGACGTTCAGCACAATACACCGAACAGCACTCCAACTTGCTCGCTTCACCACGGAGGATATTTTCGTCTTGACCGTACTCCATTCAGAACGACGAACTTCCATCTTGTTCTCGGGATCATCTACTACGCGGCAGCAAGCAGTCTATCATACAGCTGTAGTACTGTACGTGGTAGTTTTCATCGTGAACACGCGCGTGTTTGTGTGTATATGCACCTCTCCTCGTACAAAATAGAGAATACATGTCAAGTGTGTAACTTGACGTTCAGTGCCTTCCAACGATGTTATTCACAAGAAGAAGGACTACCTTCTCGCATGCTGGGAGAATAATACCATCCCCAGCGCCAGGATTTGATCCTATTCGTCCACACAACAACCGATGTCCCCCTCGAGGAAGACGTCGAAAAGATAATCATTGGCCAAGTGTAGACTACAGATACTGAAGAAGACAAAGTAACCAACATGTGAAAGCATCGCCCATGGCAACCACAAGCAACCGGAGAATTGAAGGTATTTTTTGTGGCGGCAACACAGCCCAAGCACCACCAGAATATTTTTTTATGCTTGGTTATTGTCAAGATAAACCACACGTGCGCACGTGCGTCGTTTTGTACCCAACACAATCGGTCTCCTCTCCAAGAAACAAGGAACAAGGATGGGTGGACCTCAGGAAGCTCGAAAGTATTACATAACAACACCCATGAGATTGTAGTCCAGAACGTTCAAACTGATCAAAGCTACGAAACAACCCGGTCGCATTTGCCGCCGCTCTTTTCAACTACCTTATCCATGCCTTGTATAGTCTGGCAAGCGCCAACAACTCTCGCAATAACGCACGACAAAGAACAGAGGTTATGAGAGAGCACCTCCTCTCACCTCCTAGCCTGTTCTCCTCAAACGAATTTAGGGATACCTCCTACCAGGTCCATGTTTCATAAATGCGTTGTGCTTCACCCCCCGAGCCATCATGGTTGCTCCTGCGTTCTGGTGTCTCGAAGGTCGGTCACAACAACGGCCCCGCCGTCCTCGCCCACCATTCCGTCGAATCTGCCGGCCTCCACTTGAATGGCGACCGTAAGAAACAGACCCAACACGCCTATCAGCAGAGCCGGGAACAACTGCAGAAGGATCCCGTCCAGAGGGAGCTCAATCAAAGGCTGAATGGCGTCTCCTTCTTCGTCGTCTTGCCCCGGTACCGGTGGCGGGAAGAGTCGCGGCAACCAGGCGTCTTCCCCTTCATCCGCTGTTCCTCCTCCGCTTCTGGCACCACCCCGTCGTGTTGTTGCCGTTTTCTGTGCTGCACGCGCCTGAAGTTCATCTGCGAGGGCCGAAAAAGAAAACGCTGGTGTTTGCAACGAATCGTCACCATCGCCCGTGCTGTTGGCGCCCTGTTTCTCAGCCATGAGCGACCATTCGTCCATAGGTGCGCTGTTCGCGCCATCAGTATTTCCCCTTTCGCTGTCATCATCTCTTCTTCCGCTGCTCTCGTCGTCGCCGCCGTTTGAGTCTCCACCGGCCCCACAAACTACGCCCACTCCCCACCCGGACAACGACGGGTGCTTGATGCTCTTGGTTCCCCGTTGCAATCTCTGCGCTCGTCTTGGCCATCCGGTTTTTGCAGATGGTAATGATATCCCACCACCACTACTGCAGCTGCTGCAGTCGAACATAATTTTTGCGGCTGCCGAGGTTGAAAGGTAGAGCGGTGATGACCGGTGCGTGACCAGTCCCCGTGACGATGAAGGCAGGCTTACCAGGCCTGCTGTAGGCACGGAGAGCAGTAGGGGGAGAGTCAGCCTTACCATGTCAGCGGGGGGCATGCCCCAACTCCAGCTCAGCTGACCTCGTGACCCCCGGCGTAGCTGACCTTCGTTGCTGTTGTTCGCGAACTCGGTGAGTAGAATGTTTAGCAGGGATATATACCCGTGCTGGCCTTTTCGCAAGCTGCTATCAATCCCCGGATCTTACTAAATTCTAGGTTGTGCTCCAAGTTTATCGTCGTCACAAAGCGCAGCAGTCGTACAGCAGTCGTGGCTGGTGAAGAGCATGTGACAACGATGAAATGAGTGGCCTGCTCGCCGAATCATGTTACATTTCGCTGAGCTCCGTAGAATCATGCAACATTCGAAGAGACGATACAAAGTGAAATATTTTCCACAGACCCCCTCAGGACCAAGCCCACCCATGCAGTACAATGCGGTAGCAACAAGAGCAACACAGCCACGGCAGGTCCACTGTATCTCCCGTGCGCAGTTTATCGAGACACAAAGCGTTGCGGGACTTAGCTTCTGGGGGCAGTTGCTGTTGTCAGGACCGTGTGTGCCTGCCAGTAAATTGATGAGGACTGCTGCTGCTGCGAGAGGTGCATTGCTTGCGCTGCTGCTGTCGCTGTTGGGCGAAGGTGCCCTAGGCACCTGCTCGCGCTTCGGGGGCCGAGAAGGAGGACGGAAATCCCACCAACTTGTGTGCAACCAGGTAAGAGCTTTCCGTGGCGTCCACCATATAGTAGTCCGTGAATATTCTAGAGCCGAAACTCAGCAGTGCAGAAAATGAAGATTCAAGCGGTTTAAACATGCGAGTCGCACCCAGGAGCAGCGTTGAGTCGTCGTGGGATCCATTTACGAGCAAAACGTATACCAGTTGTTGCTCTAGGCCAAGCAAGGGCTACCGCTTGTCTGTCGTCCGCTGGTGGACCGTACTCCGAAAGCCAGGATTAAAAAGAAAGTTGGTGGGTTGATACTGCCGTTGGGCACTCGTGTCGGCCGCTATGTACTGTATGCGGTCGGGTTGGATGCAACAACGGCGGTGCCGCCCTCAACGATGAAAAGAAACTCCGCGAGCCGCGAGCGACGGCCGTCGTGGGTTGTCTCGGGTCCCCGGAACCAATGCATCTTCTCGCCTCTCTCTCTCTCTCTCTGTAGAAACCCGCCGTGTACGTGACCGAGACATGCCGTAGGCGTTTGTGTCGGTAACTGCCGACGTCGTCGGTGGGGTGCGGCCACCACAAGGTCCCCTTTTTTTTCCCGTCGTCCGAAACGAGGCACTGCTGCTGCTGCTGCTGCTGCTGCTGCCACGACCAGTTCGACGGTCGGCGGCTACCCACCCCGCGCACCCTCTCTCGTCGAACACCGTCTCTAGAATCACCCCCTCTGAAAGCGACGTGCCGTATACGACATCAGAAGGTACCACGCCCGGTGACAATAACAGTTTTGGCGTTGGAAAACATAAGTTACATGGTGTTGTGTGGGGTGTGGGGTGTGGGGTGTTCTGTCACCCGGATCTGAGAGTATTTCAAAGGTGTGGGCTCATGTTGAGCCGCAAAGTTGTCACCGGCTGTGGTATTCTGTGGGGGGGCATGATATCTTCTTTGGACGTGGTACCTTCATGGCATACAGTACACTCACAGGACCCGCAGTGTTCCTGCTTTGTACAGAATGCGTAGGTGACATTGGATGCCACACGCCACGTACCGATTTTGGAAGCTCGACTGCTTCACTCCCCGACGAAGAGGACGTATGAATCGAACGAAATGCTTTCGGAAAGCTTTGGAAGGCACGATTCCAACGCCGTCCTTTTCGGCACCGCCATGTGTGTTGGCTGTGAATAATCGCGCTCTGATAATCGGACCAAACTGTTGTTGCGTGATATCTAATGCCACCGAGGGGATGTACATTGCACAATGGTGCACAATTCGATATCATGAGGTCGTAGTCACGTGCATCCTCTCTATGTAATCGGCCGCACCCCCTGCTATCCCCGCTGTTCCCCTACCCTCTGCTCCATGGCCCTCTCTTCACGCAATCAGCAACCGAACAGCAGCGCTACTACTGCTGCTTCCACAACATCATCCCGGGCGTCTTTCGTAGGAGCAGGCAGCATGCTTGGGCTGCATGCCTGGAGGACGGCCGCGGCTCGGCGGGTGCTCACGAGGCCAAACTTCGGCCTCTCTCGCCTGCAAAGTGAGCAAACGTGAACCCAACCGCTCGTTTGCCGACGTTACCGCTTGTTCGACGTGTAGAGAGAAGAAGCCGCTCCCGCGCTTACGATGGGTCCCCTGCTCGACGTGTGGCGAGAAAGCCGCTCAGTGCGTTACAAACTCAGTTGACACGCCCGGCAAAGATTGCTTTTATGCACCGCACGCCAGGTTTGGCGAAGCCCGCCGGTACCCTAGCAACGTTTGGTGTTTTGCACCACTCGAGGCTAACCAGCACCACCAACACCCCCGGCCCGGCCTCCCCACGAGACTGTGCGGAAGCACGTAACGGTATTGCATCCCAGCACTTGCGCATCGTGAACCAGGTTCTAAATAGTCCTGTGACCTCGAAACCACGTACTCCAAGTCGGGGGAGCACGCGCCGTGTGTCTTAATCCACCCCTTACTGCCCACCAAGTGTCAGACTCTGTGTTTTTCACCCGTTCGCGGCCACTCTCTCCCCTTCTCGCGCGCGCCAGCCGTCGGCAGCGGCGCCCCCACACGAGGCTCGTCCACCAGCACGGTAGCAGCAAGAGAATTGCGACGAGAAACCAGCAGCAGCGGCAATAACGCCTCCGATGATTTCGCCGACAAGGGGACGGGGGACGGGACGTCGGCCACGAGAGGCGGGAAGAAGGGCAGCGGTCCCAGGCAAGCCAGGAAGGCTGCTACGGGGGTAGCTGCTGCGCGGCGGGGGGGGAAGGGTGCCGTCGTGGACGAGTCGTACGCGTACGCGGAGACCCTGTCTTACCTGTCGAGCCCGCCTGAGGATGCCCTGAAGGGGGTAGGGCCGCGGAAGGCCGAGCAGCTGGCCAAGCTAGGTGAAATGGGAGGGGGAGGGGGGATCGATCGCGGAGTTACTGCAATGTTGGTGGTGTCGGCGCTGTTGACTGCCCCAAGTCCTCTGATGGTTGCCCGGTCGTTGCGTGCATGTCCGTACTCGTATCCGCGTAGAGTCTGCTGTAGCTCCGTTTTCCACTCCGCTGCCCGAGCGCACATCTCTCTTCTTCCATCCGCTGCTGCTCCAACGTTCTCCCACCCGCTACGCGTTGTTTTTCTTTGCCCGCCTCCGCGCGGCCAACGCGCTCGGGCAAACAGGTGTGACGACCGTGGCGGATCTGCTCTGGCACCTTCCGACGGGGATGGTGGACAGGAGGGAAACGAGCCGCGTGGCGAATCTCGTGGAGGGAGAGGTTGCCACCTTGTTGCTCAAGGTGACGCCCGTCGTCCCGTCTGGCACACCGACCCCTTACTTCTGCTAGACGTCTTCATCATGTTTTTTTTTTCCTCGTGCGCTTCTGTTGAGTACCCTCTTTCGGACGAACGTCCTATTATATCTTTCGTGGAAGTGAATGGTAGGGTTTTTGGCGTGGCGTGGCAAGTGGTCAATCTCGTCCATGGTTTCCACCCGCGCAGACGTGGGGTGGGAACCTGTGGCCACCGCAGCTGTAGGTCACTGTCGGCATTCGCTGCTGTATCAATCGAGCAGGGACGCCACACTATGGCTTGGGTGCCTGACACTTGTGTTGCCACGACGCTCCTCTTCCTCGCCGTGATATGTCCCAGTCTTGTTCCCCTCGTCTCTCCCCGTTCGCGTGGTGCGGCCGCTTCGTTGTTTCACGTTGTTTCTGGGTTGCTGTTTTTGTCTTTTGCGCCGCCCCGTGGTTGGCTGGTTTGCTTGCTTTGCGCCGCGCGCAGGTGGTGAAGGTGCAGAGCGACCCCCGCAAAAGGTCGCCTCGGATCACACGCGTCCATTGCGTTGACGTGGTGGAGGATAAGATAGACATCGTCATGTTTGGCGGGTGAGAGCAAGAGAAGCATTTTCACCCGGCTTCAGGTAGTTTGTTCCGTGCGTCCACCGCAGACAACCCCGGAGTAGAGCTATCCTCCCCTTATCCGCCCACCTAGGAGAAGTTTCGTTTTTGATGCGGTTTTGGGTTGGCGGTGGACAACACTAGGTAAATTCTACCGGAAGTTTCCACATGGGCGTGGACGTGTGAGCTTGTTGGTGTTGTGTTTATCCAGGCATCGTGTGAGGGACGATCATGACCAGACGGTAAAACTGGATTTCTCCTGTGACAGCCGCCTCTCAGTCCGGCCCGGCAATGCCCCCTCCCCCCCCCCCACTTAACCCTGTGTTCATCCTTCTTCGCGCGGTATTGGTTGGGAAATCCTCGAATTGGCCACCCAACCGGACCCACCTAACCGGACGCAAACGTGCTGTTGGTCGGAATCTTTACGAAACTTGTGCAGTAGCGGGTTAAAGAGTATTCAAGAGAAAATCGAGTTTTAAGAGGGTGTTTTTGGCTTGTCCCGACCTTGACAACTTCACATATTGTACAGCAGTACGGTTTTCAAGATAAACTGGATTTAAGAGAGCGTTGTTGACATGTCCGAACCCTCTCTTATGCCGTAGCCACCACCTCTGCTGTCCATGCCTTGGGCCAATCTGAACACGCAGGTCCTGGCTGTGCAAGAACTACGAGCCCGGGGAGACCAAGGTGGTGAGTGGGAAGGTCACCATGGACAAGTACAGCGGAGCCCTGGTGATGAATTCGCCAGAGGTCGTAGCCCCTGCCGCCGACCTTGAAAAGGTGAGCCAGGAAGGGAGCAGCACGGCCCTCTCGGGAGGGATCCAACCATCAAGGAGCACGTCTTTCCGGAGTTTGAACACGGGTGTCGATGAGCTTTAGAAGCTGAAAGTGTTACAATTAGTGCGCATTTCCGGAGTTGCACACGGGCGTCGATGAGCTTTAGGAACTGAAAGTGTTATGAGTCGATTGAGTCGCGTTTTTAGAGGGAGGGCCACGTTCTGGCTCTTGTGTGTAGAGCCATGTCTTCTTGGTAGCAGCCACAACCCCCCGGACCTTGCTCTACAATAGTTTGGGATCGGGATGGTGTACTGCATGGTTGGGGCACAGAACCTGGGGTTCTGCAAGGGGATTATCGTGTGGGGACAGTTCGGGAGGCAGGCCACGGCCACGTCGTTGCTGGGTGTCGAGAAGGGGGGTCAGGACCAGCGGCGCGAATACGTGTGGGGGGGGGATTCCCGAAACGAAACGCGTTGGGGCGGGTGGCCTCGAAGGTTAGATTTCCGTCTCTTGAGTCCAAGCTTGGCATGTGCCAGGTGATACGAGCATACCTTCCGTTTGGTGCATGCTCTCTGCTACCAAGAGCCACGTTGCAACACCGCAGATGAAGCGTTGGCGCCGTGCAGGGGTTGGTTGTTTTTTTGCGGTGCTTACGGGAACGGGGTCACTTTGACCCTTTTGACGGTCCACTAGGCAAGGAATCCAAAACATCGAGCCCATGAGCGACGTTTTTTAGTCCTGCCCCCCTTCCCCCCCCCACACTCTTCATCTAGCCCCCTTCCCACCGAACCCGTACTGTTTTCAATCACTCCTGCCCCTTCCCACACCGTCGCTGCCGATGATCTCCCCCACCTTTGGCACAAGTAGGAAGGAACGATTGGCCATCGGCAATCGGTCCTGCGGCAACAGCAGTACTCCGTCCTCTCGAGGACGCGTGCTCAACGGTCTAACAATGCAAAACATGAGCACGCGCCCCCCCACCCAACCCATGTACCCTCAGGTGTTAGTTATCCAGCCCACGTACCCCCTCACCGCCGGTCTGAGCGGGTCCAGCCTCCGCTCGGTCATCGCCCTGGCGCTCGACCAGCTGGAGGGGGTGACGCAGTTTCCGCCGGAGTGGATAGACCAGGAAACGATGCGGGAGCACGGTTGGCCAAGCCTTCGGGAAGCTCTATCGGCGGCCCACAGCCCTCAACAGGAGGTGCGCGACGCCCCCCCCTCTCTCTGTGCCTCTGCTTAACACACGGCGTGTCTTGTCGGATGTCTGCCGGAGTACGTGGCGTAAGATATCACCCCCCCCCCCCCCCCCTTTGGGCCGATTTTTCAAAGATCGATTACTCCAGGGCATAGAGAGAGCGAGAGACGTGGTGCCGAAAATGGCGGCGGTGGAACGGCAGCTTTCCGAAAACGTATCAGTTGACTCGTGGCATCCTCTTCGTCGTGTGGTGTAGTCGAGCTTTGCAGAACCAATCCAGGGAGCGTGATATCTTACGTAATGTCACCTACAGCAGTGAGTGTAGCATAGCGCGCCGATCACCATTTCTGCGAGATAGCCCCGAGCGAAGCGTTCTTTGGATCGATCCTGAACACCGGTTGATGAGAAGATGGCTTCAGGAGCAGCGGGGGGTGTTTTGTGGATGGCTTGGTTGATCCTCCCCCCCTAGGGCGCTTTGCGGGAGAATCTCTGACGAAACACACACCCCTCTCTCCGCCGCCCTTTTTGTGGTAGCACCTCCCTCCTCTCGTGCTATCGAACCTCTTTGCTCGCTGGACGCTACTTTTCTTTGCCGCCGCTGCCGCTGCGGCTACTGCTGTTGCTGCCTTTGCAGTTTCTAGTCTACACCCACACACCAAAATATCGCCGCGATTTTTTTTTTGCAACAAAACAGGAAGACTTGAGACCTTCCGGTGCCACCCGATCTCGCCTGGCGTACGACGAGCTCCTCGCCAGCCAGATCGTTCTCGCGCTCAGGAGACGCCAGAACTCGCGGCATTGGTGGCGGCGTTAGCGGCCATAGAGGGGATCAGGGAGACGGCTCTGCGGCTGCTGCTGCTGGCGAGTATGGCGAGGGTCGGGGGGAAGCGGCATTGGTGGAAGAGGGACGGCGGCGATTACCGTTTGACCTCACTTCGAGTCAAAACAAAGGTGCGTCGATAAAGTGAACAGCTTACGGGGGGGGAGGGGGGGGGGGGGGTACTCAGTTCGGCATGAGTTTAGTTGTTAGACCATTGACCGCGTGTGGGGTGTACTCGTGTAAAAGCATGCCGTGGTCGTGGGACCATTGACCTCACATCCCTGCAACACCGGGACGGAGCGATATGCCGGGTTTTCGCCGGCCCAGGCTACCTTTCACCAGGATGAACCAGAAGGCGGTCATCATCCTTGCGTGTGCTGTGCCAAACGGAGGGGGTGGGGCATGTTTCAGAGGTGCGGCCGGGGGTTGCTTGGTTCGAGTGCGCGTTTTCTCCGCTTCTGGTGCTGTCTTTTCGCCTAGAAACAAGTCTTCTCTCCGTGCGTCTGTTGCTCCGCGAGAAGTGTGTCGTCTTTTTGGCGTGGCGCTCGTGCGATACCAAAGAATCGAAGGCAACAGGCCATCCCTTTGCCACTCCTGCCGTAACTGCCTGCCGTATCCATCCCAACACACAACACATGGGGTCAGCGCTTGGTTCGGTCGATTGCCGCCTTGCTTTGCCAGCGAGCGTATCTCTCTGTGCTGGCCGGACATATACCCCGGACCATAACCGCCTCCCCCCATTTTTGGGTCACCTTTGGCAAAAGTAAGAAGGACCGATTGTCCATCGGGGATCGTTCTCGTTGGAACAAATGCTCCATGCGTCCTCGCGAGGGCGCGTTGTGAACGCTCTAACAACTAAGGCATGCAAAACATGAGTATCCCCCCCCCCCCACCGTCACTCTTATGCTTCCCGC